CTGCGCCGGAACTTACTTGCGTAGCTCGCACCCTCCACCCCCTAAGTCTGCCGCGCGCCCGGACTGCCCACCGCGCGGCCGTTCGCGTAACGGGGGCGGGCTGGCCGGACTGGACGGCCTGCGCTGTTGCAAATCTCCGAGGCTCCTGGAGGCTGTGCTGGGTGACCCGAGGCTGCCTCGTGAAGTCAGCGGCCGCTGGCGACCCGCCTTTCCGTTTGTAAATCAGGTCGGGTTGGTCCGGAGCGGGCGGAGGTCTGGGGGGTCCCGGCGGGGACGCGAGCGCGGGCCGGAGGGTCACCGGCCACACCAGGACTCACCTTGGAGGAAGCCTGGTTACCTTCAAAGACGTCTGTCTGAGAAGTGCGCCGCCCTAAGGTGCCCTTCCCCGTTGCTGTGGGGGAAAGGACCTTATCGCACCCTCTCTTGGAAGGTGTATGCAATTTGGAACTTTGAGAGAGAAATGTTCATTTAATTTCCACCTTTACTTTCCACCCTATTTAAGAAGTTGCGGGTGTTTCTGTTGACCAGAATACTTACTAGCGAGGCGAGGTTTCAATTACAGGTGGTAATTATTGCAAAATCAGATGAGGGCTTCCTGTGCCATGGTGGGTAGATACAGTATTTCCCGCATCTGTCCATCCCTTAATTCATTACGGTGGGTAACAGCTAACATTTTTGGAGGGCACAGTATCTAAGTTTAACAGTTGCAACAATCCCGGGAGTCAGATCCTAGTAACTAGTTTTGCTATTTGCAACACAGCGGGATACATAGTTTGCACAGGACTCGGGGAGGGCGGCGGGCAGGCTGCCCCCAGAGCCAGCCTGGTGATGGAGTAAACGCGACAGGCAGGGAGGGTTTAGAAGCAGCATTGAAAGCAAAGGTTCCTGGAATTCGGAAGAGTCAGGTTTGAGGTCTCATTTACAGTGACGTCTCCTCAAGCAGCCTTTGGGCCACATTGAAACTCGGGGGCCGGTTCAGCTTTGAGTACCATTTGATTCACATCCTTAAAAAAAAAAATCCTAGCTGTGTTTTTGGTCTTTACCAGGAAATGATAGATTTTGGTTAAAAATTTAGCTCTTTAGTTAGAGGAGCAAAATCGATGTTTGAGAGGGGAAATGAGTTAAGTTTCAAATGCTGCAGCAGAGTAATCGACTTTGAAATCCTCTCCACACAAAACCAACCCATCGGTGGACCGCTCCCCTTGGTGCCATCGCCCTGCTGGTTTCCCTCTGGGTTTCGGAGGCGCCTCCCTCGGTGGGGGGGCTGTGGGCGCTGCATTTCACAATTTCTTTTCAACTGGCGTGAACACTTCTCCCCCGCGTCTCTCCCCCCTCCCAAAGCACCAGCTCCGAGCGAACGTGTCCAACGCCGCGTTGCCGGGCGACTTTCGAGAGGTGCTCCAGCGGCGGCTGGGGGAGCTGGAGAGGCAGCTGCTGCACAAGGTCGCGGAGCTGGAGGACGAGAAGTCCCTGCTCCGCAACGAGACCTCGGCTCACCGGCAGAAGACCGAGAGCACCCTGAACGCGCTGCTGCAGAGGGTCACCGAGCTGGAGAGGGGTGAGTGCTGGGTGCTTTGAGGGTTTCTCTGTGGCCCCCTGGCTGATGTCCCTCCCTCCCTCCCTCCTGATCCCTCCCCTTGTCTTGATTCTTGGCTGGGCTCAGAGCAGGCGAGAGCAGGCAGAGAGGGTCCAGGCCCCGGGCCCTCTTGTGCATTTGCGGACAGGCCCCCTGGGTGAGGGAGTGGTTGCTCCGGACCCCTGCCTGCTGACTCTGTTCCTGCGTTTGCCGAGATGGGCTCTGAGGCTGCTTCCTGCCAGCCCTGAACCTGCCTGACAGATGCAAAAAACCACCTGATTCCTCACCTTGCAAGCAGCAGCCCACCTTCCCCTTCTCTCTTTGGCCCCCGGCTGCTTAGCCTTGTCTGCCACCTGCAGCCTCTGATTTATTGGTCAGGCCACTTAATGCCTTAATTGGTTTTAACTAAGTTTCTTCTGAACCTCTAAGCTGTTTGATATAAACAGAGGGCACCAGCCTTCCCGGTAGGGGCCCCTCCTCCGCCTTTCGGCTCTCCCGGCTCTGATTAAACCTGTCTCTCGTTATTGAGCTAACGATATTACCGACACGGCACCCAATTAAATCAGCGAGCCTGCCCACCTGCACAGAGAGAAGCTGTTTCTCTTTATTAGATAATCACACCTTCGTGGAGAATGTGGGTGTTTGCAGATTAAACACTCGTGGCTGCATATAGTGGAAAGAGCCCTGCTCTGTCTGTCACTGCTTAGCCGAGGGCCCTGGGGTAAGGCACCTCACTTCGAGCCTTGGTGCCTCGCCTGTGCACCCCGTCAAGTCAGGAGCTGAGGCTTTCTGGTTCTCTGGGTTTTGCTGTGGCCTAATGTGGGGCCTTGTATCCTGGCCTGGCCTCCCCCTCGGCGCGCCCGGGTGGCCAGGTCTTCTCAGCCCTCACCCGGTGCTCAGGGGCTCTGCAGCCTGCGTGGAGGGTACCCTGCTTGGGAGGTCAGGACGGGCCAGGCGGGACTGACTCCACACTCAGCAGAGAGGAGTAAATGCCACAGGTGGAGCCCGGATTCTAGTGTTTCTGTGCCGCCTGTTCCAAGAGGGTGGGAGGGCGACGCTGGGCCCTGCTGCTTTCCTGTGCGCGAGGTCCTTGGATGGCGTGAGCCGTGGCACCAAAGAGCTCCCTTGTGTGTTATTTACTAGGACGGAGAATGAGTTTGCAGGGTCGTGGTGGAGAAAGGTTGATCCAGCCTGGCTCCTGCTCTGCGGAAGAGGCGAGGAAGGGACTGAGTTAGTCCACCAGTGACGCGGGCAGTTTGGTCCTGGGTCCTGAGAGCCTGCCCATCTTTGATGGCACCTGGCCCCTCCTGGTGCTTAAAAGATACTTGTTGAATGAGGGCATTTAGGCTCCTTCACTGGCAGCATCTGGTCCCCAAATATGAGGGAAGCCTTTGCTGGGACAGTTTACAGAATCGGGAGGTACCCTGCACATTTTTATTTTATTTTATTTTATTTTATTTTATTTATTTTATTTTATTTTTTTAAATATATCTTTATTGATTTCAGAGAGAGGAAAGGAGAGGGAGGGAGAAAGAGACAGAAACATCAATGATGAGAGAGTCATTGATCGAGCCCACAACCCGGGCATGTGCCCTGACCGGGAATCGAACCCCAGTTGCCTGGATCCTAGGTCGATGCTCAACCGCTGAGCCACGCCTGGCCGGGTGGGCCCTGCACATTTTTAAATCTGATAACTAGAGACAGGGTCTTGCCTTTGATGTGTTTATTTTGTTGTTAGTTTTGAGCTTAGATCAAGACTGTATTGAAAGTTTCTTAGACCCACTTAAGAAAACCGATCGTTTTCAAAGATTATGGAAGCACCATTTACGCGGGGACAGCCAGGAGGATTCTCACCAGCCCCAGGTGGGTCCGGAGGGGTCAAGGCTCTGGCCAGGCTGTTACCCGCAGCGGGGAGGGACACCTCTGAATTCCTCTGCCTCCCGCTGCAGGAAATGGTCAATAGGTGCCATCTTCTCTTGGGGAGGGAAGGGCAAACCTCGAGCCTAGCCACGAGCTCCTGGCAGGGATTTATCCAAAGGCCGCTTCTGAGTTAAGTTGTAGCATCAGGACGCGAGCGCCTGAGTCCGTTGCCCTGGCGGCAGTGCCCTCCTGTGAGAAGTGACGTGGGCTTACTGGCTTGGCAAGTGCCCGGGGCCCTGTGGCACCTCCCGCCTCCATGCCCAGCGAGGGTTCCTGACCCCCGCTTGCTGAAGGACCTGAAAGGTCCAAGATTTCCAGGACGTAACCAAATTTGGCCGAGGAAGGATTTTCTGCCTTAATTGAACCCGAGCAGCGAGTCCGGCCTGTCTCGACCGCTTCTTCAAGCTTTGAATTAGGTCTCTCGGCGGCGGCCGGAGCCTCAGCGCTGTGGACAGCGGCTGCCCCGACCTAGTGAGGGGCCGGGGCGGGGGGCCGGGCGCCGGGCCTTGCTGGAGGGGCTGGGCTGACGCGGCCGGCCCTCTCCTCCCCAGGCAGCAGCGCGTTCAAGTCGCCCGAGGCCTTCAAGGTGTCCCTCCCGCTCCGCACCAACTACCTGTACGGCAAGGTCAGGAAGACGCTGCCCGAGCTGTACGCCTTCACCGTCTGCCTGTGGCTGCGATCCAGCGCCTCGCCCGGCATCGGCACCCCGTTCTCCTACGCCGTGCCCGGGCAGGCCAACGAGATCGTGCTGATAGAGTGGGGCAACAACCCCATCGAGCTGCTCGTCAACGACAAGGTGAGGCGCTGGGACGCCGCCTTCCCGCCCGGCCAGGAGGCCGCGGGGAACCCAACAGCTGGCCGCGGGCTGCCCTCCTCCTGGTGGGGGCAGCTCTGTGCTGACTTAGTCCCCTCTGAACAGCTG